GTGTTTGGGAGGCTGGCTTCCACCGATCCTCTCGCCCCCTTCGGTGCGAGCGGCTTCCGTACTCGGTGGAATCATCTGCTTTTGGCTCTGGGCGTCCCCCTTGCCAAAGCAGGTCAGGGGCTCAACCTGACGCCCGCTTGTCTGCGGGGCTCTGGCGCAACAGACTTTTATATCGCCACGGAAGACGTCCCTCGCGTCTTCTGGCGAGGGCGCTGGCGTCAGGCTTCCAGTGCCGAACGCTACCTGCAAGCCGCCGCCGCCTCTACAGTTCTTGCTGCGCTCCCCGAGCACGCGCGGGCTCGTATCTTGTTCTTCGCCACCGCCAGCGACCGCCTCGTCGCTTCGTTCCTCCAAGTCGGCCCCGCCGCTTGGCCTGCCCTGCTTGCGGCCGCCCGCCAAAACCTTGTCACTTCGCAAGGTCCTTGAGCACGGGTATGGCTGCCTCGCCGACCTCGGCGACCAGACGGACTCCACCGTCTGACGCGCGGCGCCCCGGCTTGAGCGCGCGGGACGGGCCTGCCCATTTTGGGCCGCCCCGCGCGCGCACGCCGCGGCCGCGCTCGGAGACAGCTCGCTGGCGCGCGAGCGGGAGAATGCTTCTTCTATTCTCTGTGAGCAAGCTCCTGCTGTCTCCGCAGCTTCTCAGCCCCCCTCCCTCCTCTCCCACTCTAAGGCTGACGGGCGCTGCCTCGCCGACCTCGGCGACCAGACGGACTCCACCGTCTGACGCGCGGCGCCCCGGCTTGAGCGCGCGGGACGGGCCTGCCCATTTTGGGCCGCCCCGCGCGCGCACGCCGCGGCCGCGCTCGGAGACAGCTCGCTGGCGCGCGAGCGGGAGAATGATTATGCTGATGATGATGATGCTGATGATGATGATGATGATGATGATGATGCTAATGCTGATTCTGCTGATAATGATGCTGATGATGATGCTAATAATAATAATGATGATGCTGTTGGTGATGATGATGGTGATGATGATGACGATGATGATTTTGCTGATAATGCTGATGATGACGATTCGGATCATACTGATGATGAGGATGCTGCTGATCATGATGCTGCTGATTATGATGATGATAATGATGATGATAATGATGCTGCTGATGATGGTACTGATGATAATGATGATGATGACGATGATGATCATGCTGATTGTGATGATGATGATGCTGAATCTGGTGACGATGGTTAGGACGCCGATCGTGGCGACGACGACGACTACTACGATGACGATGCCGATGGTGATGGCGATCACTGCGATTGCGAGTGCAGTGATGCCGACGGTGGTGATCTGGATCGTCGTCGTGATAGTGATGGCGATGTTGATAATGACCATGATGGTGACGGTGATAACGATGTCGATGAATATATATATATATATGTATATATATATATATAACTGATGATGACTATGATGCTGCTGATGATGATGACGATGAACATAATTATGAGACTGATGATGATGTTGATGATGATGACGATGACGGTGATGATTATGATGATGATGATGATGATGATGATGATGATGATGATGATGATGATGATGATGATACTGCTGCTTTGGATGATGATTACCAAGATGCTGATGCCGATGATGATAATGATGATGAGGATGATGATGATGGATGATAGATGATGGCTGATGGATGTGATGGCGATGATGATGACGACGATGAGGATGACGACGATGATGATAATGATGATGATGATGACGTTGTTGCTGATGATGATGATGATGATCATGATGATGCTGATTATGATGATTATTATTGTGATGATGATTATGCCGATGATGATGAGGATGAGGATGTTGATGATGATGATGATGCTGACCATGATGATGATGATGATGATGATGATGCTGATTATGCTGATGATGATGATGCTGATGATGATGCTGCTGCTAATGATGATGATGAGCATGATGATGATGATAATGATGATGATGATGATGATGATGATGATGCTGATGCTGATGCTGATGATGATGATGATGATGATGATGATGATGATGGTGCTGATGATGATGATGATGATGATGATGATGATGATGATGATGATGATGATGATGAAGATGATGATGATGATGATGATGATGATGATGATGATGATGATGCTGATGATGATGATGATTGATGAGGAGGAGGAGGAGGAGGAGGAGGAGGAGGAGGAGGATGATGATGATGATGATGCTGATGCTGATGCTGATGCTGATGCTGATGATGATGATGATGATGATGATGATGATGATGATGATGATGATGATGATGATGATGATGATGATTAGGAGGAGGAGGAGGAGGATGAGGAGGAGGAGGAGCCAGGTGAGGCTGAGGCCGAAGAGGCTGCAGGCGAGGCCACTTGTGCTAACCCATCGCGGAGCCCCCCACTGCGCGATCTCCAGGCCCCCGCGCTGCAACTCCGAGGCCCGCCGACGCCGGGCTCTCCTGTTGGCTCCGCAGTGCCACGCGACGGCTCCGGGGCGTCTGGATCTCCTCTGCCGATTTTTTCTGCGTGCGAGGAGAAGGAGGAGCAGGCGGAGGATGAGTAGAAGGAGAGGGGGCATGAAGGATGAGGACGAGGAGGAGGCGTCTGAGCTACCCCGCCCCTGGGGCCGGGGTTTGACCGTCTGCTGCCTCTACTACTTCACAGCTAGCTTAGTTTGATTACCCCCCCCAGGGTCGACCGACCCTTGGGGGGATGGCAGCGTCAGGATGATTCAATTGCCACCAGTGCGTCAGCACCTCAGGAGGAGGAGGAGGAGGAGGAGGAGGAGGCGTCTGCTTGTACTCTGACTTGCTTGACGGCTCGGGCCTCGACGGGGATGGATATGAAGGTTGCTTCGGCTGCTGCTGCTGCTGCTCCTCCCGCGCACAGAACCCACTCTGTCGTTCCGGCTTGGACTAAGGCGCATTCGCTTCTCAGAAGGGCAGTTCCTGGCGTTGTATGTGAGGCGTTCCAGTCAGGGCCTCGCCTTCGAGGATCTGAGGAGTTGGCATCGCTTCCTCGGCGGAAGGCGGCGGACTCCGGCGGAAGCATGAACTGCGCCTGCAGAGATGACAAGATTTGTTGGGTTCATGGTTTCCAGACTCGTCCATGCATGTCGCGTTCGGGATGGTAAGCCATGTTGTTCTCCGCGTGCGTGCCAGCGAGGTCCGTCGCGCACCCTCATGCGCCACACTTGCTTCGCAACGTGGATGGGAAACGCCAGACGGGAGCGCTCCTTGTGTCCAGTAGGCTTCTCGCCATAGTGTGTTCAACAGCTGAGTGGCCACCGTGTTGACGTTTTTGCCTTTCTTCCCTTCGTGCCGATCGTCCTGTATTCTCTTCTCCGCGGCCAGCATCTTCCTCATCCTCCTCCGTCCTCCGTCTTCTGTCCTCCCTCCCCCATCTTCACTCCCAAATCCATCCTCCCTCCTGCCTCCTCCTTCATTGCTCCTCCCCCTCCCTCATGCCGGGCTCCTCTCTCCTCCATCCTACGGCCCCCCCCTGGAAAAGAAGTTTATGTTTTGAATCTTGCTTAGGAGAGAATGATTATTGTTGATCCCCTCCCTCCGGTGCCCTTCTTGTGCTTTCCAATTGAAATGCTCCTCCCGGGGCTTGCACCTTGTTTTTTGTCAGGCAAAGTTTGGGTTCTCAAATTGTGCCCCTGGCCCCCGGGGTACAACAACACCGGCTCCCCTTGATATTTCCTCGAAGTTCATTCCAAATTCGCGCTCTCACAGGGGACTTTGTCAGAATTCAGCTGCCTGTGGCAAAGCCCGCCTCTGTGCCTGGGCAACAGCGCAGCAGGAAAGGAGACTGAGGGCCTTCACTTAGGGACCTTTCGCGACACCTTCGGCACTTGCGGTGCCCTTCAGAGACTTTGGGGCCATCTTCGGACGACTCTCCGGGCGCTCCTGTGCTCCGTTTCGTGGCCTCTTTGAGTAGCCCTGGGCCCTGTCTTGAGCCCCCTTTGGAGCCTCTCCAGCGGCGCTCTTGGGATGTCCTTGGGGTGCTCTCTGGGCCTCTCCTGGGCCCGCCCCTGGGACGCTCTTCGGATCTTCTGAGAGCGCCTTGCTCCTGAGATCTCTGAGCTCCCAGGGCTCCTCGGGTTCCTTCGGCCCCTTGTGTCGTTATGGACTGCCTGGCGCTGTCTTATTGTGCTCCTTCGCTTGCGTTGCGTGTGCATTTGTATTTCTTCGTGCTTCGTCGTCCTTTGGTCCACATCGCTATGCTTTGCCTTCATCGGTACAGCATAGAATTTCCTAGCATATGATTATGTCACTTCTGCTTGCAATGATTTGTGTTGCATTGGCTATACATTTGGTTTCTGTGGAAACGAGTTGAACAGCATTGCGTTTACTTTCTCTACGTTGCCTTCGCTGCTGGGTATTGTGTCGTATGGAATTCTGCGGCAGCGTTGTTCCCTGTACTTCGTCTTTACTTGTTCCGCGCTGTTTGTAGTTTAGCACGTATGTTGAAACGATGGACGCTACTTCACTGGATCCATGAGCTTGTCAAGACCTGGGCTGGGTAGAACCTCAGCGCGCGAAGCGCGCGCGTGTTTCTAGTTTTATTACACGTGCGATCAATCGGTTGGGTTTTCTCTGGTCTTTCCATCCCTTCATAATATTATTACCAACCCAACTCCTGCCATTGTTATCGTCTTATCCTCCTTGTCCTTATTCCTCTTCTTACCCTCGTCTTCTCGCCTCATTCCCATTCTCCTTCACCCTCTCCTGCGTCCTCCTCCTGTTCGACTCCTCGCTCTTCCTTCCCCCTCCCCCTCCCCCTCCCCCTACTCCTCTCCTCCTCCTCCTCCTCCTCCTCCTCCTCCTCCTCCTCCTCCTCCTCCTCCTCCTCCTCCTCCTCCTCCTCCTCCTCCTCCTCCTCCTCCTCCTCTTGCTCTCCAGCCAGGGCCGAAGGCACCTGGACTCGGCCTCTGCTTGCCTCTCCGTCCCCAGCCCCTCCCCTGCACGCGGGGCCGGGCCAACACGCCGCCGCCGCGCGCCGAGGAGATGGGCCGCCGCGCGCTGAAGTGGGCCTGCGACGCGGGGGAGCGGCAGCTGGCCTCCGCGCGGGCGCGCGTGGCGAGGTCCTCCGAAGGACGCCCGCCGGCGCCTTGCGCGCGGCGCGCGGCTCCTCGCTCGGCGGCCGACGCCCACTCGGCGAGCGTCAGTCCGTGCCCCTGCCGCTGCCTCCAGCGCCAGGGCGCCAAGTGGGGGGGGGGGGGCACGATTCCTCCGAAGGACGTCGTCGCCGCCCGGCGGTCGGCGCCCCGTCCACGCCAGACGTCTTTCGGATTGCCTCTGCAGTCCAGGCGTTTTCTCCGTCGGCTTCGGCCCCCAATGGGGTCGTTTTCGAGTCTTGGGGCCATCAGAAGTCGATCCGGAACGAGAAGCCCCCACCCGTGGGATGGGCTAAGACCTCTGGGGCTGCGGATTGAAGACTCCCATCGTCGGATGTTTGGGCATGTCTCTGCTATTGCCTCCAGCTGTGGACGCCAGGAAGGTCAGGGCATAGGCAAAATCGCTCGGCATCCGGAGGCCAGGGTCTGTTATCCGCGGGTTCCACTCTGGCCCCTCGCGGGGTTGAATCGTGAGCAGAGGTATGTGAGAAACGTAGGTCGCCTCGTCGTCGTGCTCCGCCTCCCTCTCCTCCCCCTCCTCTTCCCCCTCCTCCTCGTCCTCCTCCTCTTCGTGCTCCAGCTCTGGGACGACGGTACGTTATGCGGCACCTGCTGGTCCAGCAGCAAACAGCGAAAAGCAATTGGCTTATGCAGCTAACGCCAAAGGTGGCATGCGTGGCACCCTTCACATCGGGCGTGTCCTCACGATTACAAGCGTGTGCCCCCATATGCAAGAGCGTCTTCGAGATGGGGTCAGCGCTGTCTACCGTGTCGCCGCGAGCATGCTCTGGAAACTACTGCCCCAACGATCGTGGGGAGGCACGAGGCCAGCATCCCAGAGCCCAAGGGCCTCGATTGTCCTGTTTGCTTCGAGGAGTAGCCGTCCGTAGCCTTCTGTCCCGAGCACGCGGAGCAGCACATTCGACAGCGCCTTCCACCCTGGTTTAAGATCCGCGGAAGTAACAAGTGGCACGTGTGCCATGGCTCTTGCACAAAAAGAAAGGGGGAGGATGAGGAGGAGGTGGAGGAGGAGGGGGGAAGAGGGGGCAAGACATCTCCCCTAGGGGCCCAGCAACGGGGCCCAAATCCCAGGTGAGGAGGGGGGGGGAGGTGCTGTGCGTCGCGACGCGGAAGAAAGTGCTCGGAGCGGAGGGGGCACGGGGCGGAGGTCCCACTGGGGCGCTGGGGGCGCGGAGAGGAGGGGGGGGAGGTGGTGTGCGTCGCGACACGGGGTACAATTGTTGGGGCGGAGGGGGCACTTGGCGGGGCTTGGGGCAGAGGGCCACGGGGCGGGGGTCCAACTGGGGCGCTGGGGACGGGGGGGGAGGGGGGGAGGTGTGTGCGTCGCGACGCGGAATAAAATGTCGGGGTGGTTGTGCGCGGCGCGGAATAAAGCGTTCGTGGCGGTGGCGGAGGGGGCAGTGGGCGGGGCCCCGCGGGGCGCTGGGAACGCGGGGGGGCTCGGGGCAGAGAGCCACGGCGCAGGTCCCACTCTGGCGCTGGGGACGCGGGGGGGGGGGGGTGTGCGACGCGGAATAAAGCGTTCGTGGCGGAGGGGGCAGTGGGCGGGGCTCCCGCTGGGGCGCTGGGGACGCGGGGGGGCTTGGGGCAGAGAGCCACGGCGCGGGGGTTCCACTCTGGCGCTGGGGACGCAGGGGGGGGGGGGCGACGCGGAATAAAGCGTTCGTGGCGGAGGGGGCAGTGGGCGGGGCTCCCGCTGGGGCGCTGGGGACGCGGGGGGGCTCGGGGCAGGGAGCCACGGCGCGGGGGCCCACTCTAGCGCTGGGGACGCGAGGGGGGGGGTTCGACGCGGAATGAAGTTGTCGGAGCTCTAGACACCCTGTGCAAGAGAATGGACCCGTATAGATACATCACAGCAGGTGTATGGAGATAACCACAAGACTAAAGCCACTTACACATACATACATATATCTATATATGTATACGCACATATACATACACACGTATATATATACACACGCATAAAGTACACGACAGTACATGTGTATACCCATGTGTACATATCTATATGCATACACTTCATTGCATGCATGTCTAGCACACTGCCATCTATATGCATACACATACCTATGTAGATATACAGGTATCGCGGTCATGAGAGAGAGAGAGACAAGCGATAGGAAGAGAGCGATACAACGAACGAGAGACAGATAACGAGGGAGAGAGAGAGAGACGGATATATATATATATATATATATAGAGAGAGAGAGAGAGAGAGGGTGAGATACACAAGAGAAGGATCGAGCACTAGACATTTAATCCGAGAGTCGGCTGTGTATGTACAGATGTATTCAGCTATATTTGCACATTTGAGCCCGCACACACGTACACGCACGCACACACATATATATATATATATAACACACTCGTTACACGTATTCATGCGCTGTATACATGCGTACATACATACATACATTTATACACACGTATACGCTCAACTCTATTTTTAGTCTTCTGGGTGTTTGTGTTTACATGTGTATTTATATGTATATATATGCATACAAATATGTATATGTATATATATATATATAGATATACGCACGTATTTAGATCTACGTGCACATCTACACACATTTATTTTTATCGATCTATCTATCTATATATCCATTTATCTATATATCTACATATCTATCTATCTATATTGCTGGCCTGCGGCCCACCCCGCCTCCGTGCCTGGGTTGAGGGTCAGAGTTCTACTGTGACAGATGATTATTGGGGTCTCTTCGGAGGGCTCTAGGGGGCCTCTGGGGGGCAGTTTTGAGGCCTCTTGGGGGCCTCTTGGGGGTCTCTCCGGTGCCTCCTGGGGCTTCTTGTGGTCTTGATGGGGGCCTCATGGGGCCCTTTCGGGCTTTCTTGGGGGCCTCTGGGGGCGTCCTTGGGGCGTCTTGGGGCTGCACGCTCGAAATGCCCGTTCGTGAGGGGCGTTCTCAGAGTTTCAGCTCTCTCAGATGGTTGTTGGGGTCCGTTGGGACCCCTCTGGGGGACCGCTTGGAGACAGCTCCGAAGGCTCTTGGAGCCGCATGGAGGCCGTTTGAAGGCCTCATGGGGCTTTGCTGGTGGGTGGGAGTGGGGCTTATTCTGCGCCTCATGGGAGCCTTTTGCCTGGGTCGTGGGTCGTGGGTGAGAGTTCTCATGGGTGCTTCTTGAGGTAGTTTCGGAGGGCTCTCGGGGGCTTCTCGGGGGGCAGTTTTGATGCTTTTGGGAGCTTCTCGGGGGCCTCACTTTGGCAGCTTCCTGGTGGCCTCTTTGAGGCCTCGTGGAGCTTCCTGGGGGCCTCTTGGGGGCCTCTTGGGGCCTCTTCGGGCTTTCTTGGGGGCCTCTGGGGGCGTCCTTGGGGCGTCTTTGGGCTGCACGCTCGACATGCCCGTGCGTGTTTCCCCACTGGAGCCTCTCTTGGGGGTGTCTTGGGCTCTCTGAGGCTGTCTTGGGGACCTCTTGGGCTCTCTTGGGGCCCCCTTGGGCCGTTTTGGAGCCCCGTTTGGAGCCTCTTGAGCCGTCTTGTGACGATCTTCGGGACCTCTTGGGGCGATCTTGGGAGTCCCCTGGACCTTCTTGGACGCCGTGAATGCGCTAAAGGCGAATTTGCTGAACATTACCTTCGCCTGAGGAGTGGGACGATTTTTTGCTTCTTGGGGCCTTCTTGCGGATGCTCTTGGGGACCTCTTGAGGCGTCTTGTGGGCCCTTGGGCCGTCTTGGGGCCACAGCGGGTCGTCTTGATGCTGTCTTGGACCGCTCCGGGGACCTGTGTAGCCATCCGAGGCTGTTCTGGAAACGATCTCGAGGGTTCGGGAGGTCGTCTTGAGTAGCTGCCAGGAGCTCCCAGGAATTCCCAGGAGCTCCCGGGCGTTCCCAGGAGTTCCAAGGAGCTCCCAGGAGCTCCTGGGAGCAGCTGGGACATTGGGGTGCCCTGGCCCTCAAACCCTTCAGCCTCTGTACCTTCGAGGGCTGCAGGGCTGCATGAGCCTTGGGGTACTCCACTACGTGCTGAAGGCACGGTGAAGGCACGGTGGTGGATACACACATGTATGCATGTTTGTTTGTCTCTCTGTCCGTCTGTCTGGCTGTGTCTGTTTTGTCTGTCTGTCTGTTTGTCTGTCTGTCTCTCTGTCTGTCTGTCTGTCTGTCAGTCTGTCTGTCTGCATGCATGCATGCATGCATGCATGTTTGCATGCATGCATATATGCATGTATGCATGTGTATATATTTATATATGCACATGAATGTATGCATGTATGTATGCATGCATGTATGCGTGTGTCTGTGCATGCATGCATGCATGCATGCATGTATGCATGCATGCATGTACATGTGCATTTGTGATGCATGTGCGTGTATGTATACATGCGCACACGCATACATGCAGGTCTGCATGTATATATATATATGCATGCATGCATATAGGTATGTATGTATGCACGCATGAAGGCATGCATGCATGCATGCGCGCATACATGCACGTATACATGCATGTATGTCTGGATGAAAGGATTGCTTTGTGTATGCATGCATGTATGATTTCACATATGCATGTATATGTGCGTGTATGTATGTATGCATGCATGTATGTATGTATGTATGTATGCATGCATGCATGCATGCATGGATGTATGTATGTATGTATGTATGTATGTATGTATGTATGCATGTATGTATGTATGTATGTATGTATGTGTGTATGTACCTGTGTGTATGTATGCACGTATGTATGCATGCATGTATGTATGTCTGTACGTATGTATGTGTGTATGTATGTACGTGTACACGTGTGCATGCACCCATCCATGCACGTATACGTGTATGCACGTACGCATGCATGCATGCATGTATGTATGCATATATGTACGTATGTATGCATGCATTCATGCATGCATGCATATATGTATGCATGCACGCATGCATGTATGTATGTATGCATGCATGTATGTATGGAGGTATGCATGTACGTACGCATGTATGTGTGCATGCATGCGTGTACGTATGTATGCACGTATGCATGCAGGTAGGTACGAGTGTATGCATGTATGCATGTATGTACGTATGCACGTATGCATTAATGTATGTACGTATGCACGTACATGTGAATGCACGTACGCATGCATGCATGCACGCATGTACGTACGGCTGTATGCATATGTGTATGTAGGCATGCATGCATGTGTGTGTGTGCGCATATGTAGACATACATGTGTGTATGTGCATAGGTGTGGGTGTAATATATATATATATATATATATATATATATATATATATATATATGTAGATGTATGGCTGCATGCATGCATGTTCGCAGGCATGCATGTAACTATCCGTATGCACGCACAGGTATAAACATATGTGTAGATGTTTTAATTTGTGCAGGTACGTGTGTATGTATGCATGTATATACATGTAGAGAGGAATGACGAAGCAGGGAGGGAAGCAGGAGGATGATGATGAGGAGGAGGACGCGGAGAAGGAATATGGGGAAATAAGGAGGAGGAGTGATGGGATTGGTGCGATGAGATGAGATGAGCACTCTAGGCAGCAGAGGCAACACATCAAGTCAGCATGAGAGTGCAGGGATGAGGCCCGAACCCCAGACAAGGGATGGGGCGGTATCCCAGAGCACTCCCGCGCCAACCAGTCCTATCTCACACGCGGCGCAAGTCCGAAGCCCAGACGGGCTCAAGCGCCTTGGCCGACCCGCACTTTAAACAAAAAGGCGTTTGCAGTCACCCATTCGCTAACAAGCGGCTTTTGCGCCGTGGGGTTGAAGAGGCACTGCGCGGGGCAAGCTCCGTTCTACAAGAACGCATGTCGTGGGGCTAGCTCCGTCTCACACGAGCGCAGTGCGTTGGGCAAGCTCCGTCCCACAAGACGCCTGTCCTATCTCACGCGCGGCGCAGGTCCAAGGCCAGGGTGGGCTCCAGCGCCTTGGTGGGCCCGTGCTTGCACGACGAGTGCTGGCACTCACGAACACTCTTCCAGTCGGCCTTGCAGCCGCAGAAGTTTAGTTCCTCGCTGCGCGATGCCTGCAACTTGTCAGGCCGTCCGTCTGTCGTGCACCTGCCGCACTTGCTACATCATATTCCAAAGCTGCCACCTCAGGCGATGTCTCTAGCTATACACAACTTGCGACCCTTGGTGGCATGACGTAAGTCTCGCAGCCGTTCCGGGAATTCAGGGCATCTCCCTTGAGGAGGCCTGTCTTGCCCGCGGCGCTTGCCGAAACACCCTGTGCACCTCCAGCGGGAGGAGGAGGGGGAGGAGGAGGAGGAGGAGGAGGAGGAGGAGGAGGAGGGAAGAGGAGGGAGGAGGAGAGGAGGAGGAGGAGGAGGAGGAGGAAGGAGGAGGAGTAGGAGGGGAGGGGGAGGGGGAGGAGAGGAGGTAGGAGGGGGGGGGGAGGGCGGAGGGGGAGGGGGAGGGGGGGGGAGGGGGAGGGGAGGGAAGGGGGAGGGGAAGGAGGAGGAGGAGGGAGGAGGGAGGAGAGAGGAGGGGAGGAGGTGAGGAGGAGGAGGAGGAGGAAGGAGGAGGCCCACCGGTGAGGAGAGGGGTG